TGTGGATCAAACACAATAGAAGGGAACTGTTCCAGGTTCAATACGGGTTTGAGTGGTAAAATTAGGCCCTTTAAGTTAAGATTAGTAATACATTAACTAACAATGATCAGTACATTTGTTACAGTATTCATAAAAAAAAAAATACAACTGTTCATTATAAATTAATGTTAGTTCAATGGATACAACTTTTGATTTGAATAATGCATTACTAAATGTTAACATAACACACTGGTCTTGTCACAATCTGCGATGGCGAGGAACGATGGAGACGAGGAATAAAAGAAACAGTCTTTAATCCAAGAAACACAGGGTACACCCAACACTGGGACCGGCAGGAAACACATGAACATAACAAACAGAACCAATAGAGACAGACTGCCCAGACTAGGACTTAAATACAGGGGATGATTGGAGAAACACAGGTGTATGGGATGACTAATCAACTAATTAACAAAACGAGGACAGGAACATGACCAAATAAGGGAACTGAAACTGGGGCAAAACATGACACAGACAGTCCATGATCCTGACAGGTCTCATGATAACAATGTTTAATTCTTCTGGCTGTAATATTACTATACAAATTATTAATATTATTATTTATTTATTTTTTGAGAAAGAGAGACAAAAAAATAATAAAATGAGGCAAACCAAAAGTATTTTCTTTCATAATTATTAGCATACCGCAGATTTAACTTGCACTGAACCCAGAAAATTCCTTTAAACAAAACACTCTATTAGTGATGTTTGTAAATGCCTATCATTTTTGTCTTTTTGCATTCAGGCAGTGTCTCAGACTCTCCATAGGAAGGGCTATGAGGAGGAGAAGGAGGAAAAGGAGAAATGTGCACTTGAAAACAGAGTTAACCATATACGCTCTTACCTGCAGGACAGGTGAGCCATACAGATAAACCTGATCTACGTGAACAGATATGACAAATATTTAGCCATTGTCACAAACTGTTCAGGCTTGTATGTATGTGGTTGCTTCTAGGTTTGAACTCCACCTAAAATATCTCACACCCAGTCTTGTGACCTGTATGATTTCAGACAACAAGCTGTCATGTGAAGAGACGTCTCTTTTGCTCTGCCTCTCGATATCCAGTTTCATTTTAATGCTCATGACAAATAACATGTGCACTCGTGTTGCCAAAGCTTATGACTAAAGACAAAAGTTCAGACACACCTGCTTATTCTTAGCTGTATCAGAAGTAAATATTAATGTATGGTTATGTGTGGATTTTCTCAGCATCTCCCGTGCAATGGTGAAGTGATAGTGAGGCAAACTGCTGAAAACCAGCAGGCCAGGTGAGCCAGACCAAATCCTGTAAATGTAATGTACCAAATACCAAGATTCTCTTTTTCACATAATTGCACATTTAATAACACTCCCGGTGTGTTGAAAATATGACTACTTTGTTTGTTTTAGGTGTCAAATTGAACCCTTTTGGTTTCCATGCAGCTTGTCAAAAATCAGCACTACAAAGAGTCTTGCTTTGACATAAAACCTCAATTGCAGCTTGACAGAGACTAAATAATATATAAAATATGAAAAACAAAAAACAAAAAAAGTCCCTCCCTTTGGTCAACTTAAATTTCAAAAGTATTTGTCTTAAAAGTTCTGTCTCTGACCAGCTACAATAAAACCAATGTTTCAAGCAGTTGAAGTAAAAATCAAATGTGGATCAAACACAATAGAAGGGAACTGTTCCAGGTTCAATACGAGTTTGAGTGGTAAAATTAGGCCCTTTAAGTTAAGATTAGTAATACATTAACTAACAATGATCAGTACATTTGTTACAGTATTCATAAAAAAAAATACAACTGTTCATTATAAATTAATGTTAGTTCAATGGATACAACTTTTGATTTGAATAATGCATTACTAAATGTTAACATAACACACTGGTCTTGTCACAATCTGTGATGGCGAGGAACGATGGAGACGAGGAATAAAAGAAACAGTCTTTAATCCAAGAAACACAGGGTACACCCAACACGGGGACCGGCAGGAAACACATGAACATAACAAACAGAACCAATAGAGACAGACTGCACAGACTAGGACTTAAATACAGGGGATGATTGGAGAAACACAGGTGTATGGGATGACTAATCAACTAATTAACAAAACGAGGACAGGAACATGACCACATAAGGGAACTGAAACTGGGGCAAAACATGACACAGACAGTCCATGATCCTGACAGGTCTCATGATAACAAATATAATGTTTAATTCTTCTGGCTGTAATATTACTATACAAATTATTAATATTATTATTTAAATTTTTTTTGAGAAAGAGAGACAAAAAAAAAAAAATGAGGCAAACCAAAAGTATTTTCTTTCATAATTATTAGCATACCGCAGATTTAACTTGCACTGAACCCAGAAAATTCCTTTAAACAAAACACTCCCACCTGGGACTGACCGGAATTCATAACAATAGACAATTTTGTCATATTATAGATTGGTGCAAGCATGTCGTCAGAACCCGGAAGACTAATTCGCCGAAAATGAGATTTTCCTATGGGGTTTTATAATAAGCGTTTCTTCAATGTATGAGTAAAATAAAGCTTGTGGTAAACATAACTTGACGATACTTTGATGTTTTGTTCTACAACATAAACTGCACACACTCACACCCCGAACTGTCTTATCATAAAAACTGCCTTATCTTAAAACCCCATAACAGCGAATTAGTCTCTCGGGTTCTGACGTCATACCTGAACCACATTTGTTTCATTTATCTTATTTGTCTCAGTATAAACCCACAGCAGGATGCAGGTCATATTGAACCCCAGGTCAATGTTCTAGCAGATGGTTTAGCGGTGTCCCTCCTCTATGAGCCCCTGCCGGACCCCAGCGAGCCCCATGTACGAGGCCTCCTCACCAGACTAGAGGTTCGTCTCTTATGCACGGGTGGTGCATCGACAGTCCGTCCTTACATTCTGTCAGTATGAACACTGTCATTAATGGAATGTGTCAGCAGTCATTATGCTCTCATGTCGAGAACATTTCATATATTGGGATTTACGTTTCAAATTATGTTGCCATTGGAAACAGAACACTCTATTAGTGATCATTTTTGTCTTTTTGCATTCAGGCAGTGTCTCAGACTCTCCATAGGAAGGGCTATGAGGAAGATAAGGAGGAAAAGGAGAAATGTGCACTTGAAAACAGAGTTAACCATATACGCTCTTACCTGCAGGACAGGTGAGCCGTACAGATAAACCTGATCTACGTGAACAGATATGACAAATATTTAGCCATTGTCACAAACTGTTCAGGCTTCTATGTGTGTGGTTGCTTCTAGGTTTGAACTCCACCTAAAATATCTCACACCCAGTCTTGTGACCTGTATGATTTCAGACAACAAGCTGTCATGTGAAGAGACGTCTCTTTTGCTCTGCCTCTCGATATCCAGTTTCATTTTAATGCTCATGACAAATGCACTCGTGTTGCCAAAGCTTATGACTAGGGACAAAAGTTCAGACACACCTGCTTATTCTTAGCTGTAATCCCGTCGGATTGCGTCGGCTGTGGGGATGAAGACCACAACTCCCATGATTCCACACTCAGTCACGGTGTCATCAAACTACATTTGTCTATTTGTTTATTTTGAATATGCGCCCTCCAGCGGCGAAAATGACGTATTGTGCCTTTAATAGAAAATTCAAAAGAACAACATTTCTTTGAAATATGTTAGATTTTTTTTGGGAACATTATAAATGTCTTTACTGTCTTTGATCGATTTGATGCATCCTTGCTGATTGAAGGCTTTATATATATATATATATAAACTCCAAATGTAATCTAGTCAGTTTTCATGCAGCACTTTTTTTTTTTTTTTATCTTTTCTAGTTGGCTGTCTGTTCTGAGCTGATATTAATCCTTGGCGTATTCTTTTTATTATTGTGTTTGTGTTTTCTGACGGTTTATAATGCTGCTGTTCTGTGTCTCTCAGGGTGAGCGGTCTGTGCTCTCTGCTGCAGGTTCAGCGTGAGTGTGACGCGAGTGTGTGTGCGGTTCAGAGCGGCTTACAGAAGCGCTGGGCTCTGCTGAAGGAGTTACACACACGAGTGACTCTGAGGCCTGACAGCACACAGGAAGCACACGACCCTCACGCCGTCCTCACAGACACTGAGGTGATACACTACTTACCATATCGAATCTTACAGTGGCCCTCTGTGATGCATGTTTACTGATATATGTGAATGTGTTTGTGAGCCTTTTCAGTGAGCTCAGTCGGTTCAAAAGTAAAGCCCAACAGTGCCGGACACAGTTGGAAACCAGTATAAACCTTTTACAGGTCATTATATAGTCATTTTTTTGTTTTTATATATTTCTGAGGATATTCTCAGAAATAGGCATATCAAAACAAGAATACATTGCCAATACAGCAACTTTCATGCTATAAAGCCTGAATAAATGTGGTTTTGGTGGCTGCTCTTCCTCAGGCACTTCGCAGCAGCCATCAGGGTCTGAACGAGACTTTCGGTACCACCATCAACTCTACATGGACCAAAGAGTTATTACAGTCTAACACTGATCTGGTATGAAGACATTCACAGATAACGACAGCCTGAGCCTGTTAGATAGTCAAGTCTCATTTATTTGTATAGCGCTTTTTCACAATACACATTGTTTCAAAGCAGCTTTACAGAAAATCATTATGTTAATGTTTATAATATCGTAATATCCTAACGTCATTCAGCAGATTAGAGCTGAGTGATAATATAGTCTCCGCTCTAATCTATCAAGCAGTTGATATACAGTATATATATATATAAAATATATATGATTTACTGATTCACTTTTCAGGGTATATTCTGACAAAAATAGTGCGAAAGACCATATTCTTGCTTTTTATATGCTTTGATTTGTTCAGTAAATCATTTCCTTTCTTTCCGGTGACAGTTTTCGGAGATCCATGAGGATTTCATGTCTTTGGAACAGCAGACGTCAAATTTTGTGATCCACTTGAGAGGCCTGAATGCTTCTGAGGAGGGAAAGACAAGATTATCTGTGGATCGGTCACAAACTTCTCTTCCCACTGTCCCAGTGTACGTTGCTGCTTCGGAAGCAGCACAATTACATTCTGATCCAGAAAGTGATCCAGAGTCCCTAGGAGACTCACAGAAAGCCCACACCAGAGTGTCCCCCTTCCATAAGCTCTGTGATGAGGAGGAAGAGGTCATCCCCGTAGTTTTGACAAAAGTTGGATGTTTTTACAGGACATTTTTAATGCCTAGTATTTAATGTGACAGCCTGTTGAGCAGGTGTAACAACATAGTTTATGCACTTTATGCACAGTTTTAATATATATTATAATACAAATAAATATTGGAGTCTCTATATAGTGCCTAAACTGTGACTTGTGATTTTCTACATGTGAAATGTGTAAATGAGATTTAATTTGCATAATAAAATAGTAATCATAATATGTTACATTATAGTATCGGTTGTTTTTATTAACATTAAAATTTGTAATATGTAATGGAATAATAGAAAAGTTGGATGTCGGAAGATTTGAATCTGTTTGAACGAAGCCTCTTATGCTCACCAAGGCTGCATTTAATTTTTTTGAAAAAGCTGTAAAAACAGTAATATTGCTGTGATGTAGATGAAATTATGTGGCCAGACAGAGAGGAACGTCTGGATGTGCATGAATGATTACAGTACTATGTATGTTGTATGTTCAGTTCCAATATGTACTGCAATGTTGTGCACAGCTCTACCCAAAGAGAGTTTATGTTTGTTGTAAATAAGGGTGTATTTTTTTTCTTTGCAAAATGCTGTGAACAAATTCGAATTGCAAAGAGCATATGCAGTAAAAATGTGAAACATACATATTCAGTGTCTTGTACTCAGTTACCTCACTAAATACAGTAATGTGTAGCTTTACTGTATTTTTCAAATGGCTGTGCAAATAGTATATAGTGCTGTCTTGAGCATTTTCAGGTAGTGTCACCAAGATCTGACTTTTTTGCATTGGAAAACATTGACAGAGTAAATTGTCATAATGAAAACATGGCAAACACATTTGACTATCTTGTTCATAAACAATGGTGTTAGGACTTTTCATCTTGATGACACTTTCATTGACACGAATACTTGCTTTTGAGGAATGACCTATCCATTTTGAGCAAGTGACACGCTTTTGCAGGTTATCAACTAGGTTTTGCAGTTTGTACTAATTGTTTTGAGAACTGCATTAACTGTTGTGCAAATATAAATAGTGATGTGAGAAATGCACCAAAGCGACTGAGAAAAACTGTATTATCTTCAAAATATTTGTATATATATTGCATATATAAGCATTTATTTTCTGTTTAAATAGAAAATTATACATGTCTTTACTGTCATTTTTGATTAATTTAATGCATATGTGCTGGATAAAAATATAAATTTCTTTACAAAAAAATACAAATAAAAAGATGATAGATAGATAGATAGATAGATAGATAGATAGATAAATAGATAGACAGACAGACAGACAGACAGATAGATAGATAGATAGATAGATAGATAGATAGATAGATAGATAGATAGACAGATAGATAGATAGATAGATAGATAGATAGATAGATATATAGACAGATAGATAGACAGACAGATATATAGACAGACAGATATATAGATAGACAGACAGACAGATAGATAGACAGACAGATATATAGACAGACAGACAGATAGATAGATAGATAGATAGATAGATAGATAGATAGATAGATAGATAGATAGATAGATAGATAGATAGATAGATAGATAGATAGATAGATAGATAGATAGATAGATAGATAGATAGATAGATAGATAGATAGATAGATAGATAGATAGATAGATAGATAGATAGATAGATAGATAGATAGATAGATAGATAGATAGATAGATAGATAGATAGATAGATAGATAGATAGATAGATAGATAGATAGATAGATAGATAGATAGATAGATAGATAGATAGATAGATAGATAGATAGATAGATAGATAGATAGATAGATAGATAGATAGATAGATAGATAGATAGATAGATAGATAGATAGATAGATAGATAGATAGATAGATAGATAGAAAACTTACTGACCCCAAACTTTCAGGTATAGTATTTTATCTAGTCAATAGTCATCCAGCTCCTCTGCTTGAATATTGAAAGCCTTGTTGTATAAATATAATACTTTAAATAACATCTGTGTAAATAAGATATTTTTCAGAATCCGCGCATGAAACGGACAATGAACTGAAACAGTAAATGTGGAAATACAGCCAGAGAAAATTAGTCTATGGCGGTCTATGCTACTCGTGCTGTTTGTGAGCACAAGAGGGCACAATCCAGTCAAAAATAACCGCCAGCTCCTTCAGGACAGCTGGATCCCAGCACGATACACTACAAGGTAAGTACTTTGTGGTGATAATCGTCAAGGTAAAGGATTGGAGCATAATATCACACCACAGACCCTTTTTACATGTCCTTTTTTTGCATTCGCATGTAGCCGTTATCATCTAGCTAATTCATTGCCTTTAAATTAGGCTAGTTTATGTTGAAAAACCACTTCAGCAGCTTTAGACTTTTGGCACAATTGTACAACTGAAAATGCAGAGAGAAATAATTGCGAAGGACGTTGTGAGTAATATGAGCATTTACACTTTTAGCATTCTGGTTTCAACCTGGAATTGGACAGAATTGAATATGCACTACAATAATTATTTCCAGTACACATTTAGGGTGGAATAGTATGCAAACTTCTTAGAGGACCAAAAGACATTCTTCACAGTCCATATATCTATATTTCAGCCAGATACAGATTTTACAGTCTTTTCCCCCCTTTCTATCTGCTAGTGAGGGCCAAACTTTTCCACCAAATCAGCTTTATAGAGGGAAAAATCTGCTCGGTTGCTTTGAAGCACAGTCTGAAATTGTGTTTCAAAAAAGAGCGTGTTCTTATGTTCTACTAGCCTTTGTGGATTTAGTAGGAATTTTCATTTGATTTAACTCTGTATCAGTGTTGCCAACTAATTTTCAGGGGAAGTCGCTAAAGGAAGGTTGATTTGTTGCTAAAAGTCGCTAAATGATGTTGTGATGTCATTGCGCTATGACGTCATTACGTAATTTGTGTCAAATCTCAGCAAAAACATATATTTTATATACAGTATGTTAATTCAGATTTGTTCGTAGCAATATAAATGCATAATATAATATTAAAATATAAATAACTTTTTTAAATACATTGAGTTATCGAAAACATACACATTTTTGAACGATTACAATTCAATTTTGTTATTATTAGCTAGTAAACAAGTAAAACTACACATTCTGAACAATTATACTTTAAAGCAGTGTATTTTAAAGTTGTAAAGTTAGTGTGTAAAGTGTAAAGTGTAAAGTTAGTGTGCTACACTCTAAGAAAAGTCTGTAAAAAATAGTGCACAATCTACTGTTAATATGAAGGAATTTTCTGCATTGATTTTTCCACAGGTTTTTTTTTTACCTGCATTTTTAATTACGCATTGTATTTTGTGTTTTCGGGCTACAGGGTTACAGTGGATAATGGATAATGTCCTGGAAAGTTACTAGCACCTTTTCCATTTTTCTACATATTTTTCTTACAGTGTACTAACTCATCAACAATCGCAGGTGCAAGCTACTAACAAAGTGTCTCATAAATGAACAATAACAGTATTCAGTTATTCAATTATTATTACTATTAAATTAAACTATTGCAAATAGCAGCTAACTTAATTCCTGTGATGTGTGTACTGCTAGGCATCTTTGGTTTCCTCTTTTTTGTGTAATTTAAATGGTAAATTGTGCCTTTTTATCGTTTGAGTCACTTACTAAAAGTTGCTAAAAGTTGCCAAATACATTTTAAAAATAGCTAAATTTGTTGCTAGGTCCTTTTGGAAGAAAAAGTTGCTAGGGTAGTCTGAAAAGTTGC